TTAGTGTTTATTGTAATATTTGAAAAGTATATAATGTTATTTATAAAGAATTACACTCATATTTTGTAGTTCAAAGGGTTTTCTTTACAATGAAACAATTTTTTAAATTTCCTCCATTGTATGTGTTTAGGGTAAACATTTGAATTTGAGTATGTCAAATTTAGGTGAAAATACCAAAAAAACGCCCCAGAGCTTAAGGGGTTTTAAGAATCAGTAGTTAATAACGTGCTTCAGTATGTTATTTAAAAAATACTCTTAAAGGGTTAGTTCACCCAAAAATGAAAATTCTGTCATTAATTACTCACCCTCGTGTCGTTTCAAACCTTATATTTTTGATGAATTCTGAGAGCTCTCCCATAGACAGCAATGTAATTACTACGATCAAGGTCCAGAAACGTAGCAAGAAGATCGGTAAAATAATCCATGTGGCATCAGGGGTTCAACCGTTATCCCTGCCGGTACGAGACTCGAACCCACAACCTTTGGGTTACGAGTCCAACTCTCTAACCATTAGGCCACGACTGCCCCTATTCAACAATTTATTCAACAATTAATCTCCTCCGCATCACCCTGGTGCCATTTTGGAGAATATCCACTGAATGTAAACAGCATATGCTATTCTGTGTCAGCTGCATCGTTTTCTACATTGTTTACAATTTGATTTAAACGAAAACAACGTATCCGTGTGACACAGCTGACACAGAATAGCATACGCTATTTGCGTTCAGTGGATACTCTCCAAAATAGGGCTACGGTGACGTGGAGGAGACTAATTGTTGAATAAAGTCGTTATTTTTGTTTTCTTTGCATACAAAAAGTATTCTCATAGCTTCGTAAAATTACGGTTGAACCCCTGATGTCACATGGATTTTTTTACCGATCTCCTTGCTACGTCTCTGGACCTTGATCGTGGTAATTACATTGCTGTCTATGGGAGGGTCAGAGAGCTCTCAGAATGCATAACATTTTTTTCTCTTAAAATCTTAATTTGTGTTCCGAAGATGAACGGAGGTCTTACGGGTTTAGAACGACATGAGGGTGAGTAATTAATGACAGAATTTTCATTTTTGGGTGAACTAACCCTTTAAGATTTGAAGTACACTACACGTGTACATTCAGTGCCATTAAGCACACTACGTTTTTTTACAAGGGTAGGTATCTTGTTGCAGCCCTAAAACTTTGTTATTTAGGCCACTACAAACACATTTCAACTCATCAATGCACTCAAACACATGTACAAACAGACCATAGATGCGTAATTAAAAGAAAACACTGCCGTAAACGTCAGCACAGGAAACGAGAAAGGAGTCCAAGTGTTGACACGCGTTTGAACTGTGACA